AAAAAAAAAAAAAAAAACTAAAGACCTTGATAATCTGGATCAAAAACAAAATGGTATGCATTATCTTGAGCCGGAAACTGCTACCGCTACTGCTACTGAAATTCAGGGACCATAGGAGAGGTTTGTGTAGGATCAATGGAGTAGGTGAAAGTTGAATTCATGCGAAGACCTGAGCCATGACCATGTGACGATTGTGGTGGGGCAACTGGATGATGACCTACCTGAGGGAGATGCCATGAGCAGCTAGAGCTACTGCAACAAACTGTGCAATTGTCTGGCTCATATTATTCTGAGCTTGTGTCATATTAGCCAGTTGCTGTTGCATTAGAGCAATTTGTTGGCATTTTCTTTCTAAGTCCTCATTTTGTTTTGCCTGTGCCTCCTCATATAGTTAGACACCATCTTTGTTGCTATTAAGTTTTCTCGAGGTTGTCTCTTCTTATAAGTAAAACCAACCATCTCTGGATTTACTTGGGAGCCAATCCTTGGAATGAAATTAGATGAGCAACCTCCAACAGCCTTAGCCCATGCCTCGTTATCCAGGTGTGGCCACGAACTAGCATCAGAGCCATAACTCTCTGTGCACTCCGCAACATAAGTATCTTGAAAAAATAATAGTAATAGTAATAATGTTCTCAAAAGCAGTTTGAAAAAAATCTATAAAAAAAAGTAGATTTTGCTAAATAATTTAGATTAATTACATAATTTTTTTGACACTTATAACTATACATTTTATGCTAATTTATATGTTATATATACTTACATATCGATGGTTTGCTTTTTCATTGATCCATGTCGACTCTTGATCCTTTCCCGCCTTCTTTCTGAAAGTGTGTGTCTCCTTGAACTTCTCCTGATGGGGAGGTTGCACACCACCTCTAGATTCAGTCTGTATTTCAAAATATTGATAATGTAATATATTGGTTAGTATAAATTGACACAATTCATTGTTAAATAAAATTTAATATATTAAATTTTTTATTAATCAAGCTTGATTACCATCCGTATTTCATGGATGCCAAAGCTAATGGACCCAATAGTGTGAGTCACCCTTTCCCCAGAACTCCTATTCTTTGATTCCCTTGCACTGAGCATCTTATATTCATCAAAGTCCCAATATATTAGCAGCTGAGACCATAAATGAGGTGGCATCCAACATGGGACATAGGTTGAGTTCTTCTCCCATTTCAACTTCTCATCCCTAAGATTGTCACTCCATCTATGTTTCAAACAATTTAGGAATGCATATTGCACACGGTGATTATCTGCAAGATCCCACTAGTAAATTATCTGCAAAATAAGAAATGAATAACATTAGATGTGTGAGAAATGTAAATTCTAGTTTAATAATGAAATTATTTATTTTTATTAGAAATTGCTAAATCCATTCATTTTATTAAATTTGCTAAAACTTAATCTTAGCTTGAAACAATTATAAATTTTAGTAATCTTGCTTTGTGGGACATGCTCGTATGTGAAATACGGACCATCAAAACGTGACTTGTAGTGTAGTGATAGCCCGAGGGATGTTTGGATCAGCAAACTGAAGCTTATCATCAGTAAGTTTAACCCATTTCTTACTCTCTTTATTTTTTGAAGGGTGTATTCCTTTTAAATTCCTGCTTCGTCAAGGATGAAGGGCCCTCATTATCATGATCGGGTGCAAAATTATAATCCAATAATGGATCAATCGTTTGCTATATATCGGGAGCTATGCAACTATTAGTAAATAGCTGCAAGTGATTAAGACTATGTTGCCCTTGTGATCCTGAGGAGGAAGATCTCCTCCTTACTGAACCTGTAGGATTTCCAAACATCCTGAAAAATGAATAACAAAATAGTTGTTAATACATTTATACAAATAACGAGTAACAAATTTAGAACAATCATACAATGATTTTATTTTAAATGAAAAATATATAACTTGATAAAACAATATATATATAAGACAAAGAAATTTTAATACATATATTTAATGAGTAATAATACAAATGTTTCAATTAATCATCACTATCATCGCTATCATCATCATCCTCAACATTATCACTATTTCTTGAGGCTTCTGAATTTTTTTCTTCTCCATAGTCCTCCTCTTCTTCGGATGTATTAGCATCAACCTCAACTTCTGTAACACCTTCTGCACATAGTTGAAGTGATTGGTATGTAGTTAAATCTATAGCTAATGAAGAGCCTTG